TGGAAGCCGCTCGGCATCTGCTGCCAGCACGGCCAGGAGATGCTGAGCACCCACCTGCCTGCCAGGACCATGGTGGCCAGTGTCCCCTGCCCTTGGCCAGCCCGGGGTGAGAGCGCAGGGGTTTCCCCTGGGCATCAGCCCATTGCTCCTGTTTGAGCGGAACTGTGGCAAACTGCGGTCCAGAGTCAGAGCATCCCCTCCAACTGACCACGGGGTTTGCCCGGAGATCTGGAGGGATCGGTGCCACAGGATGTGGGGCTGGCAGGGCTGGCGCCCTCGGGGGCACATCTCCCTGCCCGAGCCAGCGCCGGGGCTGCCTCCAAATGCCATTCGCCTGGGAATCGGCACAGGCGGGTAAATACTTGTGGTAGGGCTGGTCCTTCCTGGCAGCTGCCTGGCATCCCCCATCCCTGCATCCCCGCATCCCCGCATCCCCATGTCCCTGCATCCCCACGTCCCAGAGTTCCTCCATCCCTGTGCCCGGCTCCTGGCGAGCTCTGGCATCCCAAGGTCCTGAGCAGCTCCGCTGGCCCCGGATCCAGCCCCAAGCCGGGCTCTGGCCCTGCTGCCCCTCCAGCCGAGCTTCTGCCGTGCAGGTGGACCGCAGCGAGGTCATCAAGAGCAACCTCAACCCCGTCTTCGCCAAGATCTTCACGGTGGACTACTACTTCGAGGAGGTGCAGAAGCTGCGGTTCGAGGTGTACGACAGCCACGGGCACGCAGGCGTGGGCACGCACGACGATGACTTCTTGGGGGGCATGGAGTGCACCGTGGGGCAGGTGAGCCTCCATCCCCTGTCCTGGGGACACTCACCATCGGCATCCCCTCCCTGACCCCTCGGCTTTTGCAGATCGTGGCACAGAAGCGGGTGACGAAGCCACTGTTCCTCAAGTACGGGAAGTTCGCGGGCAAGTCCACCATCACGGTGAGTGGCCAAAACTGCACTGGGAGCAGCACTGGGCTGGGGCATGCAGGTGGCACTGAGCTGGGACACTGGGGTGGCACTGGGCTGGGGTGTATGAGTGGCACCAAGCTGGTGCACGTGGGTGGCACCAAGCACGGACCCTGGGGTGGCACCAAGCTGGGACACGCGGGTGGCACCCAGCCAAGGTGGTGTGATGGCACTGAGTGGGGCATGTAGGTGGCACCAGACTGGGTCACCCAGGTGGCACTGGACTGGGGTGCTGGGGTGGCATTGAGCTGGGACATGTGGTTGGCACTGAGCTGGGTCAGTGGGGTGGCACCGAGTTGGGGTGAGGGGCATTGAGCTGGGGCACATGGGGGGTCCCCAATGACCCTCCTCCTGTCCTCGCTGTCATCCAGCTGCCCCCCAGGCTCCTTGGGGGTGGGGAGGGCTCAGGGTCCCTGTTGACGTCTGCTGGCCACGCTGGGGGGGTCCCCACCATGCCAGGGAGGGTGTGTGGCACCTTGTCCCCTCCCAGGGCACCACCCTGCCCATGCAGGCAGGGAGGGCAGGGGGACAAAGCTGTGCTGGATGCTGAGCACACCGTGGCCACCTCTCCTCACAGGTCATCTCGGAGGAGATCTCGGGGAACAACGGCTACGTGGAGCTCGCCTTCCGGGCCAAGAAGCTGGATGACAAGGTGAGCCAGGTCCCACGGGCAGGGCATGCGGGGAGGTCCGTGCAGGCAGGGTGGGCAGGGCGGGCAGGGCAGACGGTGCTCTGCCCCATCCTCCCTCCTCCAGGACCTCTTCAGCAAGTCAGATCCCTTCCTGGAGATCTACCGCATCGATGATGACCGCAGCGAGCAGCTGGTGTACCGCACCGAGGTGAGGCACCGGGCAGGATCTGTCCCTCGGCCACCTCGGTGGCTGCCCGGTCCTGCTGAGCCCCTTGTCCTGCAGGTGGTGAAGAACAACCTGAGCCCCATCTGGGAGCCCTTCAAGGTCTCCCTCAACTCGCTCTGCAGCTGCGAGGAGAAGAGGAAGCTGAGGGTGAGGAAGGGCGATGGGGACCCCCCATCCCTGCTGCAGGAGCACGTGTCCCCTGGCTTCCCCACAGCCCAGCATGGGCGGCATGCGGGGGACCCCAAGCCACCAGTGATGGTGGTGGGGATGGTGCCGGGTTTGGGAGCAGTTTGGGGGTGCGGGTGTGTGGCTCCCCACCGCTGGAGCTGAGCTGTCCCCTGCCGCAGTGTGTGGTGTGGGACTACGACTCACGGGGCAAACACGACTTCATCGGAGAGTTCTTCACCACCTTCGAGGAGATGCAGAAGGCAATGGGGGAGAACAAGGTGGGGGCACGGACATGGGGACAGCCTGTGGGGTCACCCCTCCATGCTGCCAACAGATCCCCTTCCAGGAGGCACCTCCCAGCTCTTCCTCTGGTTTTGGGGCTGTTCTCCCCTCGCTGCCCTCCTCTTTGGGGAAGGGATGGTGGGTCTGGGCTCCTCTGGGGAAATCGGCCCTGGCAGGGTGGGATGGAGCCCATGGGGTGGCTGGGAGCCGGGGAAGGTGGCTGCACCCATGGGGTTGTGGGGGGCAGCGGGGTAATGGGGCTGTAGGGTTGTGGGGGTGTGGGGTTGTCGGGTAACGGAGCTGGAGTGTTACGGGGCTTGAGGGAGACGGGGTTACGGGGGTGTGGGCTTATGGGGCTGTGGGTTTGCAGGGTCACAGTGCTGCAGAACCGTGGGGCTGAGGGGCTGCGGGGTCATGGTGGGGGGGTGCCAGTGCATGGGCCGTGTCCCCGGGGCTGGGGGGGCCGCAGGCAGCGCCGGGGGTGCGGGGCGCCGAACTCGGGGGTCGTGGTGCTGCTGGACCTGAAGGTGAGCATCCGCATGCCAAACTGTGCTGTGCCATACCATGCCGTGCCGTACCATGCCGTGCCGTACCATGCCGCGCGGTGCCATACAACCATGCCGTGCCATGCCATGCTGTGCCGTGCCCAGCTGCCGTGGGGCAGGACCGGCTGACACAGGTCCCTCTGGAAGATCCACAGGGTCTACTCCTTCCTGGACTACATCATGGGCGGCTGCCAAATTCACTACACGGTGGGTGGTGTCCCCCCGCCCCAAAGCACCGGGGGCCGGACGCGGGGTCCAGCACTTGGCCAAGCACCCGTCCCCATGGCTGGGGGCCATGGGTAGCACATCCCAGGTCCCCCGAGCTGTGGCTTCACCACGGTGCTGGTGAGCGGCGCTGGCAGAGCCACCCAACCACAATGGGGACATGCCGGTGGCCCTGCTTGCCCCGGGGGACTCTCACCACCACCACCACCCCGCACCAGGTGGCCATCGACTTCACGGCCTCCAACGGGGACCCCCGAAACAGCTGCTCCCTGCACTACATCAACCCCTACCAGCCCAACGAGTACCTCAAGGCACTGGTCGCAGTGGGCGAGATCTGCCAGGACTACGACAGGTCGGTTGCTCCGGCGGGTCCCCCAGGGCCAAAACACCCTGGTGATGGCCACCCTGGGACCGGGATACCCCAGTGATGGCCACACTGGTGCTGGCACTGCCAGGGCTGGAGCTCCTCACACCTCTTCCCTTGCAGCGATAAGAAATTCTCAGCTCTGGGCTTTGGTGCAAGGATCCCCCCCAAGTACGAGGTAAGGGGGTGGCCAGGCTGCTGGGGTCCTGTGGGACCCCAAGCACACGCTCGTCCCTCTGGGCATCCCTTGGCCGTGGCTGCCGTGGGGCTTGGCAGGTACCGGGGGCCGTGGTGGGTGGGTGGGCACTGGCTGCCCCCTCCCCTCTTGCCTTGCAGGTCTCCCACGATTTCGCCATCAACTTCAACCCTGACAACGATGAGTGCGAGGGTGAGCCCAGCTCTGTTGGGGCCGAGGCAGGGGACAGTCCCATGGCTCCCCCTGTGCCAGAGCCCAGTGCTGCCCCCCCTCACCCCTCACATCCCCCCACAGGCATCCAGGGCGTTGTGGAGTCCTACCAGAGCTGTCTGCCCAAAATACAGCTCTACGGTCCCACCAATGTGGCTCCCATCATCTCCAAGGTGGCTCGTGTGGCAGCTGACGAGGAACGGACGAAGGAGGCTTCGGTACGTACCTGCTGGTCCC